ATGGTTGGACACGCCCCAGTAGGGTATCCTGTCAGTGCACAAATCCCACACTTGTTCTGTGGGAGGGCCAACGTCAACCTGATGAACCTTTTTCATCTCTAAAACTTCAAGCTTTCGAGAAAGGGTGGACATTTTTGCTCTTAGGTCATCATTAGCTCTCAAAACATACTTACCCTCATGGGAAGTGGATGGTTTGACTTTAACAATGGTAGGGAAGACTGAGTCCCACATCTAAGAACTGTCATATATGGTATCAAAAAAATTGAATGCCTCCTCCAGAATCTTGCTTATAAACTCTCTTTGAGCCATCATTTCGACAAATTGAAGTAATCTAGTGGGCAAGGAGTCATAGAAAAATCCTACCAAAGTTCAGTTCTCAAAAGCATAGTGCGGGCAAAACTGGTGTAGGTCTTTGAATTTCTCCCAACTTTGGTAAAAGGTTTCTCCTTCTTTGACAGAAAAACTCATGATTTTCCTTTTCAATGCATTACTGCGGTTCAGAGGAAAAACTTTCTAAAAAATTTATTTTGTAGTGCCCGTCAGTCAAGTATTGAAAGAGTTTTTAAAGAACTTAGTCATTTCTTAGCTTTATCCTTTAGAGAAAATGAAAAAATTTTATTTTGGCTTGCTCAGAATTGTCTTGAAAGGTTCTACATACTTCCTCAAACTCTTTTATATGCAGATATGGGTTTTCTGTTTCAAGTCCATGGAATTGAGGAAGTAGTTGAACTGTCCCCATCTTTACAGTAAAGAGGGCTGAATTTTCAGGAAAGATAAAATAAAAGGGGAAACTATTTCTTGTGGGATTTAAGTAATCCCGCAAAGTTCGAATGTTAGGCACTTCTCCCTCTCTCACAAGAACTTCTCCTTGTCTTTCATTATTTGTCATTCTACTTTCACAAGAGTCTGCTACTGATCTAGGTGAAGGTGGTTCTGGTTGATTCATAGATCCAGAAGATTCTGCCTACAAATTTTGATAGTGAGGAGTGTCCTCAGACATAAAATTAAAACAGTGAAGTAAGTATCTATACAAAAAGAGAGGTCTTTTTACCTTTTACCTTAAAACACCTTTTATAGTTTCCCGACAACGGTGCCAAAAATTTGACTTGATCCGAAATGTATACACCCAAGTGCAAGCAGTCAAGCTGTAGTAATAATCCGGTTAAGTCTGGAATCAAATCCACAGGGAACTATGATTGGTATTTTGAAGTGACAATAATAGAGACCAATTAACTGAAAACTTTGAGATTTTGAAGTTATGGGATTTTCTGAATATAATATAAGATTCTTTCTAAGAGTTTTCTATACAAAATATAAGATAAATTCAAATGTGAAACAGTCACTCTTTAGCTTGAGGATCAGAATATGTAAGTAATCATCCGGTTTGTTGTACTTGTGTTTTATAACCCAATTAACTCCCGTGTCAACAGTAAGTTAATCGGAAGATAAAGATTGATTGTGTGAATTAAGCACATGGTTCCAATGCCTTCCTAGAAGTTTACAAGAATTGTCTGTGCCGAGATTCAACCCGTCTATAAACAAGCAAGTGTTTCTACAAGGCATCCAACCGTGGCATTAATGTTCCATTCTTTAGATAAAGCACAATAACAGTAAAGATTGAAATGTTGTCATAAAGATCTAGCCAGGGTACTTGCCTTGACCAACGAGTCTTTCTATGCAAGAGTCATCTATGACATAAAGAGACCTCACGGTTATACAAAATAACTTAACTTTGCTAGATACATTCAATCATTCAATGAGCAAGTGAAATATAAAGCATTAAAGCATAAAAGAAATGCACATATATAACTTCTGGATAATTTATACATATTCATCACCTCTCACTAAAGCGTGAATGAGGAACTACTCACTCTTTATGGCTTTGGTAAAGTTAAAAAAGTGAGTGATACTCATCCCTCCAAGTGGAGAACTTACAAGATAAAGTGCAATAAGCAAATAGCCGATCTTCAGTGAAGAATGAGTGAATCACATTCCACCCTTTATAGTTTTGGTAAAACTCTAGAAAAGTGGTAGAGTTTCACCCTTCTAAGAAACAAGGAAGCTCAAGCAATGGAAGTGAAAGACATAAACAATAAAAGTAGAAGAAAGCTAGTCACTTTTGGAGGGTGGCTTCCTCAACCAAAAGATGGAGGGTTGCTTTCTCGACCAGCAAGTGGAGGGTTTCTTCCTCAACCAAAAGATGGACTAACTCTCTTGATACAAGTAAATATAACATCCATCTAAGACTAGCTACATGAGTGGGAGTCTAAGCCTCCATCAAAACTCTTTACCCAAAAGGTCTCCTCTTAAGCTCCCATAATGGGAGTATTTATAGGCAAGCAAGAGGAAGGGGGAGGTGGTGAAAGAATAATGTATGCGACCCAAGTCCAAGGGAAAATCAACCACTCTGCAGTCTATCTGTGGAGAACGTTCGAACGTGAGTTGGCATTCGAACTTGGTTTCTATTTTTGCTTTATGGATGTTCGAATGTTGTATGTCGTTCGAACGTTTCTTCTGTCTTTACTTTATAGGCGTTTGAACGCCAGATGGAGTTTGAACCTCTCACTCAAGTGGCCTGTGGTCTTCTGTGGAAACCTATTTTTACACTCTATGCAGAACTTGGCACTTTGCACTCATCACCCTGGTGTTCAATCAATTCAAGTGGGCGTTTGAACATGAGTGGACGTTTGAACGTGGCACTCAAGTGCTTCAAGGTCTTCCTTCTTAGCTGCAACACGTCATGTCTCAGCACTCTGGTCTTTTTATAGTTCAAGTGGACATTCAAACGTGAGTTGGCGTTCGAACGTTCTTGCTTTGTTCCAAGCTTCTCCAATTTTGTCCCCAATATGTTGGTGTTATATCCAAGTGAGATTTTTGTTGTTCTTGAGCTCTTGTTCACTTTAGAACCTAAAATGTCATCACTTAAACTCCATCAAAGTACAATTAGTCCTAAAAGGCCATACTAATATGCTAATTTTAAGTACTAATCAACATCTGCATTGACAAATTGGTACCATTTTATTATATGCAAAGAGGTTCTTGTTAATTTTGAAGACACCATATTTTCGGTGACTCAAAAATCAATGCAGTCCTTATGGGGAATGGATTGGATAGTTGATAATGTAAGTGGATTGCTTTTGAATACATTGTTACCATCAATTATTGTGCCAAAGCAGTTTAAAATAACCAATAACTTATTTTTGTCCTGATTAACAGGTAATAAATATGGTTCATTGTATTATGTCACCCGATACAAAGATAACAGCACCACACAAAATGCCAGATGATACTTCCCAACCTTGTTTTCGGTAAAGTACCCATACTCCTCATTGTTGGGTTGTCATAAATATAAAAAAATGTGATACTCATGATAAATGTTAGTTAATTGTGTATACTTAATGAATGGTTTTTGCAGCAAGCAGCAATTGCGATGAAGAATAAAGGAAAAAATGTCTTAAATTATGTTATTAGACAGACTTTTACTCATTTCATTGGTGATATTAATAATTGCGATAAGGTCTCACATTCTCATTTTATTTTATATAGGTCCTTCTCATTAATTTTGTTGTACATATATGTGTGTGTGTTTGTTTGTATTACATTCGTGTCATTGTAGATATATTTACCAATAAATTTTGCAAAGTCACATAGGTACCTCACCGTAGTAAATGTGCAAAAAAAAAGAAATCATGTTTCTTGATACTTTGTCTACTAGTGTAAGGAACCTGAGACGAGTTGAGCAAGCAAAGAAAACGATAAATTTTGTACAACAAAAATTATTTAGCGCTTGTGTAATGAAGTACCTGTCATCTCACTCATTAAAATACTTTTTTTGTTTCCTTGAATAGGTGATGGTGATATATCATCTAATATGTGAGGTGACCACCGATGTTGAAGATATGCATGAATGGCCTATTATTCAGCCAACCTGGGTGCCTGTACATAAGAATGGCTATGATTGCGGTATGTATGTTATATTGATGATCCAAACGCCAGAGTTGGGTCCAGATTTCCCTATCAAGGTGTTAATGTATTGCGTACATGATATTTCAATGTTACTGTTAACTTAATGATAGTATTGTCATTTACGTGGTAGAGTGAACTTGGTGTTGTTTTACAACTACTCTTGTTGGAACCTACATGAGAAATGCGAAGGGAATTAGGCCTAAAATCGGTCACATACAACAACAACATTAAGAGAGATGCGACAATATATAGGGCAGTACTTCATTCATATATGAAGAACTAATTAATTCAATCATTGTGGTAAGCTATACCAATTTGTGGAGGTTGGAGGTTTTTTCATACTTCTTTATTATCAATATATATATTTATATTTATATTTTTGAAAAAGACTGAATGATTGGGTTCTACCCTTTTTAGGTGGAGTTTTTACGTTAGTGGGTGGGTACCAACTGTTTGGGTCGGGTTATAACTTTTTTGGTTTGGGTTCCAACTTTTGGGTTGGGATTGCTACTTTTATGGATTATGTTCCAACTGTTTGGGTGTGGCTATAACTTTTTTGAATTGGATTCCAACTTTTGGGTTGGGATTCCAACTTTTATGGATTATGTTCCAACTATTTGGGTGGGGTTACAACTATTTGTTGCGGTGGGTTCCAACTTTTGGGTGTTGGAGTTATTATTTTTTTGGTGGGGTTGCAACTTTTTTTGGTACGGGTTACAACTTTTTGAGTTATGTTATAATCTTTCTAGTTTGGGTTACAAACTGTTGGGGATTAGATTAAACCTTTTCTAGATTGGGTTATAACCGTTTAGTTGCTTCTCTAATTTATGATTGTTGTTGGCAACAACAAGCAATTCCAAGTATATGCTTTGATAAGCGGGTGTAGTAGCAATTTCGTATATTTCAACAACTGATGTCGGTGGATTAGGCAATTCGGGGTCAATGTTCACTTATGCAGAACTAGTTGCAACTACAAATGGGTTTTCAGTGCAAAATATTTTGGGTGAAGGTGAAATTGGTTTTGTATACAGAGGATGCGTAGCAAATGGGAGAGAGGTAGCAGTAAAATAGGTAGTGGGTTACTACATTTCATTTTTGATAACCGCAGGCTACTTGTGTATGACTATGTTCCCAACAACACCCTTTACTTCCCCCTTCATGGTAAATGCTAATTTTTAAGACTTGAATAATTGATTTGTGTGTTTACTTCCACCTTCATGGTAAATGCTAAGTTTTAAGACCTGATTAATTGATTTGTGATATAGGGGAAGGCAGGCCTGTTATGGATTGGGCAATGCTTGTAAAAATTGCCATTAGTGCAGCTCGTGGATTATCTTATGTGGATTAGCTTATCTCCACGAAGATTGTAATTATTTGCTTTCCTGTGCTTGCGATGAGACAATGCAATTCTCCCCCCATTATGTCAAAACTTACAATAATTGTTTCTCACTTTAAAGTTGTAGGATATTTGTCTTCCCTGTTTTTATGTAGCCTCTTGAGGTTCAAAATTTCATTTTCAGCAATCGTCTACTACCACTTCTTGGTTCAAAGGTTCGTTGTTGGCAAGAAATACTTGATCTTTCAATGTTTCAAAGTTGTTCAAAGTTTTATAAGACTAGCCAAAAAAGTGTGTCAAATAATATCTTCCATGCAAACGTCAATTTACAAACCAATCCATGACATTATACCCAACATTAACTATGCATAATTTCATTCGTGCTTAATGGTCTTCCAATGGTTAGTGTTACAAAAAATCACTAGTATTTGTTATTTACAACATTCAAATAAGCAACATTAACTAATTACATAATAATATGATTTATATAATAAGGGGTTGCCTTCAAAAGATCAAACAAAATAAAGGCAACACGATAACCTGTTTGGACAAACCAAGCACTATAACTTATAATTTTTTGTACCACCACAAGCATTCACATCCAAAAAACAAAATGTCTTGTGTGATGCATATACACAAGACTACTAACAACCAACCACCAACCAGGCTAATTGATTAGCACAAAAACATTGCATATACCATGTCCTAATCATCTCTTTTTCACTTTGTTTTTGGGGATTGAATGTTTAGAATTGCACTACGTGAGCTATTAACGAAGATATTTGATCTTTGCAGGAAAAGATGTGATAAATAATGCTTCTTAAGGCCTTCCCAAATATGTTGAGGTGAATGAGGATGAAAGGATGGCCTGTGGATAGCTCAGGAAATCACAAAAATCAAGAAATCAGAAAATCAGGCAAACCGTACCGGTACGCTTAGGCCTCTAGAGTTCGACGTACCGGTACACTTTGCTGAATCTACCCAAAAATCTGCAGATCATCCTCTACTGCTTTATAGGTCCCACAATCATATCTCCCACACTTCTCTGACACGCCGACAACACTCTTCATCCCTTTCACACCTCTTTTTGGAGCCATGGTGATCAATGAGGAGAGAGGCGAGAGAGTTGCTATGTGTGCAGACAGGGGTCTGCACTTCCCTGTCCAGCCATTCCTTGCTGCAGCCTATGGATGGAAATCACATCACTCAACTGAGAGAGCAGAATATGGACATTTTTGGGGGCGAGTGACTCTATTATTCAACATTTCATACATTACCCAGAGGATATAGAGAGAAAAAGTCTAGAGAAAATGATGAATAGTGTTCTAAAGAGATATATTGAGATTTTTACATTTTCTTCAATATATTGTCCTGTAATCTCCTGTAAGAATCTTTAGAGCTTCATTGAATGTCATTAATGCTAGTTCATTCCAAGTTCAATTCACTTTTAAATATTTCACCATTAATGCATTTATGTTCTTCATTTCTTCCTAGCTGTAAAATGGGTATTCATTGCTTTCACTTATAGCTTATGTTTACTTGCATTTAGTTACTCAAGAACTTCATTCCTTTGCAATGCATTCTCATTTCATTGTTAATTTCATCCCAAGCATGAGTAGCTAAATCCTTTAGTTGGCAAAACCAAGAGAAACCTCCACTTGGGGATGTCATTTCAACTCATTCTCCTCTCTTCTTTCAGAGTTCAATGGTTCTGTTTGACTGGGTTGAGGGTGGATAAGTTGGTGAGTCTTTGATATTCCGTAGGCCTAGTCATTGTTTATACTTATATACTCACCCATCTTATCCCTAGTTTCCCAGAAATCAATCGAACATTTATACTCTATTGGAGGAGGGATTCGAGTTGAGATGGTATCCCTATTGGAGTGACCTCTTGGATTAGCAAACGTTTGTTTCTCATTTCATTTTCACCAAAACACACTTCACCAAACAACTTTCAACAACAAAAGATTTTACACTTTCTTTCACCCAAAAATCACCTTCCCTTTGGTTCACATCCTTCCCTGTGGAAACGACCTTGGAGTACCTCCAAGTAAAACACGATCCACAAAAATCTCCTTGCGCTTGGGGAACATTTTTGTTAATACACATAACACATTTCCACCATCCCAATTTCCCATCTCCTTGCCCTTTCTTTTGACACTACTTAAAGGGAGAGTGACATTCCCCTCCATCCATATAAAATGCATTTTGAGGGATGATATTTAGAGGTTAGGGATAACAAGGAAAATAATCAAGCACTAATCGTCATGGATGATAACCTCTTTATCTAGAATAATACTCAGAGACGAACCCACACTTTCAACCAACTCTTCTTTGACTTCAAAAACTTCCTTTAGCTTCTTAAACAAAGGACATGTGTTGATGCACCACTTGCTTGCAAACTTTTTTCCTGCACATTAGTATTGAGGAAATAAAATTTTATAACAAGTATAACAAAAAAATTGATTTTACTTCGTTACTCATACCATTTTTTTAAATCTATACGTACACTTAAATAACTTGTAGCTCCATCCATCGGACCACCAACAACACACATCATGGTTGTGCTCCAAGAAAACATCCTTGTTTTCAACATAAGTTTGATAGTGAAGTATTGCTTCTTCTAGAAAAATATTATCCTCACAAGCTGTATTTGGTCCAAACTAAACACAAGCATCCTCATTTTCAACAGCTTTAACAAATTTTTGAAGTTATGTGTTGTGAACTTCCCTCATTCAAGTACTATAACCCTTTGTTTATATTCCAGAAGTGCATAAATCAATAGTTGACTTTCATCATCATCAATTCTTGGAACTACCATTTTTTCTAAGCAATATTGTACAATCCGAATATGATATAGGTGACATACCAGAACAAGTAGCACATAAATTATATCATAACATGAAATTAACATATTAGATAATAATCATACATACACAGTTAGTACTAAAACACATAGCAATAAAGAGATGGAAAAACTCAATTTTGCGATGCTCGGTTTAAAAACTGCATAACCAATTACACCTAAGGTAGAAACAGTAATTTGCCTTATTTTATTCAAGCAGTTTCTAAAAAATTTAGAAACAATCCCCTAGCCCTAAAATGCATCAAAATTGAACCTAATCAAACTAAATTACAATCGAACTAAAATTGAAAATAATCAAATTGAGTTCTCAAATTCAAATTGAACCTAAAATACACGCGCAAAGAGAAGAGATGAGGAAAGAGAGAGGATAGGGGAAGGGGAGGGGGTTTGGCGTGTGTGAGTGTGTAAAGCAAAGCACGAAGAGAGGAAAAGAGAGAGAGAAATACCTTGAGAGGTGTGTGGTTACGTTGTCACTGTGGCGGTGGCGATTAAAGTCATGAGAGAGAGAGGAGAGAGAAGAGAGAATGAAGGAGATGGGGAGGTGGTAGAAGAACGGTCGAGAGATAAAGAGATATATATAGAGGGTGTTCAGAGAGTTGGTTTGGTTTATTGGGTAGCGTGGGAAGCTTGGGAAAAAAATTAAAGGAAAAATTACATTCAGAGCCCCTGATAATTACTCAGACCCCCTGACCTTTGAAATATTACACATAGACCCTAATTACAATTTTTTAAGAAAAAATTGAATTTTTATTTTTAATTTTATTTCAATAAATTGTACAATAGAACATGAATTTTAGTTGTAAAATTTAAAATATTTGATATTCTATCTTTGATTGAAGTATTTTTTGTCTAAGTATAATATTTTAAATTCAAGGAGTCTAAGTAATATATGTTTACAAATTTCAGGGGATCTGAGTATAATTTATTATATAATATATTTACAACAGGTGTTTATCAGGGGTCAATGACAAATTCTGGTCTAATTCTCCCAAAATTAAATTAGGGGGAAAATGTTTAAAAATTATTAAGTTTTATTTGAACCCTCAATTATAAAATCTATATAATAAAACAAAGGAAGTTGAATTTTATTAAGTTTTATTTGTACCCTTATATTATTAAGTTTTATTGGAGCTCGAATTTTATGTTCTATCGTGCCTTCAGGCACGAGTTATAACTAGTTTCTAATATTACATTTCAATTTTATCAATTTTACACCTTACCATTTTGTCATTATCTATAAAAATTGATAATTTAGAGTATAAAATTGAAGGTATAAAGAGAAATTAAGAAAATGGTTATGAAAAAAATTTAAGTTATCATAATAAAACATAAAAATAAAATAAACAATGTCTACAATTAAAATTATTATAAATTTAAAAATTATTAAATGATTTAGTATAAATGTTTATTATAAATTACATAAATATTAAATGATGTAGTATAAATGAGTGATGAATGATGTATATAGATTTATTGTTTTATTTTTTGTTGTGATACGTGTATTACTAGTCGTTTTAAATTTTTTTCGTAGAGCTTCTCCTACACGCTACCCATCTCTCTCCCTCTGTGGTGTATCTCTATCCTACCTCCCCCACTTCTTTCATTTTCTCTCTTTCCCTCACGATTCCAAAGCGCAATCATCACTGCTGCAACTCCAAGGCAACTTTTTTTCTTCTTTGAGAACTCTACGGCAAAGGCAAACAAGCAGCGAGACCCTTCATCTTTGCACTAAGTTTGCTTATGTTCATTCCATCTCTTTGTCTTCTCTTCCACTTTGTTTAGCATTGATTGAGCGAATAGTTTTGATTGAAAGGAGGGCTTAGGAGATTCAGTCATAGATGGCCTACAAAAGGTAACCCACAAACCATATTTTTGGATTTTGATTTTTTGGGCGATAGTTGGTGTTTTAGGTAGCTTGCATGTCTAATTTTTTTTTCCCAATAGTAGACAATCTCTTAAATTTTTTGAATTTGAACTGAACGACTATGATTCAAATATGCAATTTATTGATCTTTTTCAAAAATTATTTATAATTACAACATTTGTTGGAAATTAGAGGTTGAGGAGAACATAAAGGAGTTGAATTTGCTTGGATTGAATGTTTGCTTAAATTCTTTGTTTATTGGGGCTTGTATTTAAATGTTAA